GGCTCCTCCCGGCTCTGGGGCCGTCGCGCTTCGGGGACGCTCCCTGCGGAAAAGGCGCTGCGAGCCCCGATCGGCATCGGGAAACGCTTACCGGCTTAATAGGAAATGGCTGTTTAATTAGGAAAAAGCGCTGCATGACAACGAGCGGGGAGTTCCCGCCTCTCGGCGCCGCACCGCTGGCTCCAGCACAGCTGGGAAATGTCCGAACCGCTGGAAAATAACTTTCCCTCCTGGTTTTCACAGAGAAATGAGAACTCTCCGCTAGCGTGCGGCTCTCCCGGGGCTGGACAGCTGGTTTCACTTAGATTTGTGGGTGATCAGCCTTCCCGGCATCTTCCTGCTATTTTATCACATGTCAGCGAGTTAGTTTTACCGTATAAGGACTGCGGGCTGCTTCTGGGAGAGGTGGAGCCAGACCGACTCCAGCTTCCCAGTGGCCCCATTTCCATAGCTTTGGAATCTCGCTTAATTAAAGTATGGCTTAAGAGAGCCCTGTCCAAAGGAAGGAGCCGCAGACTGCCACACAACAGATGCCCGTTTTCTACATGATCGATGCCTTGTGTGTCAGTCGAGAAAGTTAAACACACAGCATTGGGTAGAAAACAAAGGAAATGCTGGGTAATTTAAGAGCAGAGGAATCCTGGGTCGGCTTCCACTTGGATCGGCCACTGAAACCCCGTCCAAGGTGGTGCAGCCGTGAATGGAAACCACTTCCTCCCACTGAGGAGGAGCGGTCAGTCACCACACTTGAGAAGCTGCAGCAAAACACATATTTTTCAAAGTGTTTAACATAAAGCATAAAACAATTGCCCTTCCTGGTTCCATAGCCCATAAAAGTGGGGTTTTGTAGAAAAAAAAAAGTTAATCTTACACACAGCAATCATGCTCCGATTTGGGGACAGCTAAGCGCGCAAACCTAGCAGTTTAGACTAAAGTAGGGCTTTATTTTCTTTCAAGTAACAAGCAGTTAAAGGAAGGTTTATCTTAAACCCAATGAATTTATGGACACCCATTTGGTCCTGTTGCATTTCTCCCCACAGTCTCTCCATTTATTCTCTAGTCTGATTTTTAAACATTAATAGTGTTTCCATTTACTGTGCAGTTTATTCAATAATATATAAACAGATCTTATTATTAAGAAATTACTTCTGCCTAATTCCTTAAGTACCACAGGAAGCAATTAAAAAGGAGAGTGAACTTATTTTAAGAACATATCTAATTTTGCCCTATTTATGTTACAAAGACAACTGACTCTCCCATGCTGAGGCCGACTATCTGCCCAGCTGACCGTGTCACGATCATACAGCGTTTGCAGGCCCAGGAGCCCACAGTGGGTAATGGAGTGGCTGTAGCTGCAGCAGGGTGCTGCGACAGGATATTGCTGCAACCTGATGAAACCAAGAACAAAGAAATCGACTGTGGAGGTTTTGGAACAAGCCATTATGGAAACAGTTCAGTTTTTAGCTTTTCAGTTCAGTGAGTAGATCCAGCCCTGGGAAGAGATCTGCAAACAGTTCTCCGATGGCCATCGGGGTCGGATCCTTCCTTGGGCGGCAGGAATGGTCGGATCCTTCCTTGGGCGCCAGGAATGCTAAGTACCATTCAGAGAGAAAGGCGTAGCACACGCTCTGTACCTTGACATTCCTGAGATGCCATAGCTTGAACAAACAAAAAGCAGAGACAGAAAGGTTCCCAGAGCCTCCCCGCGCACCCCAAGGAGAGGCCTCTGCAGTTTTAAGGAGCGAGCACTGGAGAGTCTGTCAGCCAGCGAGTGCCTTGCCCCTAACCCCGGCTCCGGGCGGTTGCATTCGGACAGGCCGAGGGCGAGGTGGCAGCGCTGAACAGACGGATCCAGCTAGTGGAAGAGGAGCTGGATCGTGCCCAAGAACGGCTGGCCACGGCCTTGCAGAAACTGGAGGAGGCTGAGAAAGCAGCGGATGAGAGCGAGAGGTGCGTTTCCTTTTCTTCTTTTTTCTTTCTTTGTAAAAAATAGAATATATATGAATAAAATATCCCTGTATAATTTATTATCTGCAGGTGCTGATGTGCACTGCAGGTCAGACACCCAGAACCAGAGGTGTCTTTTTTAAAAGCTTAAATGAGTAATTCTGTTAGCCTCAAAGAAAACAACAGTATGGCCATCATGGGCCACTTCTGGGTTACAAACACTGAATTCCCCTTTAGGACCTTTGAGATCAAACTGCTAAAATGCCTCTACATTAAACACACTCTCTGACTTCTGCAGAGGAATGAAGGTTATTGAGAACAGAGCAATGAAAGATGAAGAGAAAATGGAAATTCAGGAAATGCAGCTGAAGGAGGCCAAGCACATTGCTGAAGAAGCTGACCGCAAGTATGAAGAGGTAAAAGGGATAAGGAAATGATTAAACCTAGGGCAGAACCGTGAACAGCTTTGTTGCTTTGCAGTTGAGTCACTCTTTACGCGTTTCACTGTGTGATGGTTCGACTTCAGAACGTTCCCAAAACGGAGTAAATTTAGTAGCAACTGTAGCAGCACCTTAGATACTCAATGCTAGGAACACTGCAAAATCTAATTTATTTGGGGAAGAAGTCTCGTGTCCGTGCATGTGGGTTTTAATCTAATTTCACGGTTCAGAAGGAAGGCACGAGCACAGTGCTTTGAGAGAAACATGTGAGACGTTACCGAGTGGCCTGGTACAGCTCCCGTCCCTTTGCAGGTCGCCCGTAAACTGGTTATTTTGGAGGGTGAACTGGAACGAGCTGAAGAGCGTGCAGAGGTGTCCGAAGTGTGAGTAACTTCCTTTACAGGGAAGCCGTTCAGAATACAGCGAAGGCCGAGGCTGTATTTCATTAGCAAAATCTGCGGCTGGTGGGCAGGCACGTAGCATATGTAGAAAAGCTTTTTTGTACCCTAAGAACCCAGGTTTTTCATTCCAGACTTAATAATTGTAATTACTTCATCCCTTGTGTTTTTAGATTTCTTGAAAATTAAATGAAGTCATGACCGTAGTAATTTACACTTTTTTTTCCTATAGTAAATGTAGCGACCTTGAAGAGGAGTTGAAGAACGTCACCAATAACCTGAAGTCTTTGGAAGCTCAGTCGGAAAAGGTTGGTTCTTTCCATAAACTACAGGACAGGGGCAAAGTCAAAACTTGGAAATAAAATTCATAGAAATAATCCAGAAATACAAAGAAAGCGAAGGGGTTTAGCCGACTGTAACAGAGCCGGTTGGTAACGCCGAATCAGTCCTGCCCAAACCCAAGTCCGGAATCCGGTCATGACCTGCAACGCTGCTTCAAGCCCAGACCCAGCGTTCCCCACACCAGGATGCTGCTGCCTGCTCTCGGGTTGCTGATCCTGCACGTTGTGCGGCTTTTGCCCCCTTCATAAGGAAACCTGTTCAACCTCCTGCTTCCATTACACGGTTGTGTCTGGCTGGTCCCCATAGGAAGGGAGGCTCCACGTTCTCTGGCGCGTTCCGCTGCTTTGCACCGCACAAGGTGAGCCCTTTAGGGGCTGAGACGACGCCCGAAGGAACCTGGGCATCCCCAGTCTTGACACGATGGTTTGTGAGCCAGAGCCCGAAACGTCCTGGTGAAGAGGAGGAACGTAGGGGAGGGGTGTTTGCAGCTGCTGGAAAGGAAAAGGGGTTATAAATAGGTCGCGGTTTCATAAACATTTATCATTGTTCCTACAGCTTCCCTTAAAGAGTGTTTATTGTTTCCACAGTACTCGGAAAAAGAAGATAAATACGAAGAAGAAATCAAGATTCTCTCTGACAAGCTCAAAGAAGTAAGTTTGCCCATCCCCAAACCATATTTTGGCACCATGTTTAGAACAGCACCCAGTTACTGTATTTAATTTTTTTTAGGCTGAAACGCGTGCTGAATTTGCAGAGAGAACAGTTGCCAAACTGGAAAAGTCTATTGATGACCTGGAAGGTAGGAAATTTCTCGAGTTTCATTTACAAGTGGCCAGCTTCAAATCGGGAAACGAAACTCTCGGAGTCGGTACTAGATTTTGCTGGGAAAGGGCAGGAGTGCTCGCCAGGCGCCTTGGTGGCTGGGCGCGAGGTGTCCGCTGGACGCGTCTGTCCCGCGCGGCACCTCCTGCCCCGGGGAGGCTTTCCTGCAGGACGTCCCCTCTCCACCAGCTGAGGTGATGGCCTGGGCTTGGCCACCTCACGGTCGGTGGGCTCAGGGCCGCTTTCAGTTCAGAGCCAGATCACAGCCCTGCTTACTCCAATTACTGAAAAATAATTGAGAGGTTAAAAAACTGGAAATGTAGGTGAAGCTTCTGCCCTGGCAGCTGGGTGGACTTCTTGCTTTCCCACCAACACTCAACTACGCATCTCTCTTCTTCTTGTTCCTCCCCAACTGCTCTGGCTGCTGCCTCCTGCCTGTCTGCGCGTCTCCCACTCTGCGCCTCTCCTCTCGACTGCTCCTCCGCGTTTCTTGCTGAATGGTGCCTCCTGCCCTCGGGACCGGCAGACGAGCTGTACGCTCAGAAGCTGAAGTACAAAGCCATCAGCGAGGAGCTTGACCATGCTCTCAATGACATGACCTCGCTGTGAGCGCGCCTGCGCGGGGCCGCTCCACCTCGCTCCGTTCTTACGCTTTTCTTGCCTGCAATCCCTGTCGCTCTTGCGCAGCTTCCACAAGCGATCCTTCCGCCTCCTCTGTAAGAACTGAGCTCAATAAAAACAACGTTCCTCTACCTTTCAGCTTTTGGGGTTTATTTGCTTGTAATCCACCAGTGGTGACACTGAACGTTCGTCCAGCCCCTCGTGCTGGGGACGGGCAGATGCGGTCAGCGGGGCAGGACCCAGCGTGCGGGCAGATGCCCGAATCTGGTGTTGCCAACGATGCGCGCGGCAGCAAAAAGCTCCGAGTGCTCTCGGTGCGCAGCCGTGCTCCGCCTGCCCCGCTAAGACCACTCAGGACAGCGAGAATCCCGAAGGACCCGTCCTGTAAATCACACCTTAAGTCAGAACACGGGTCTGCCACGTGACATGTAAAATGTGTCCAACAGCCTCGCTGAATTCGAGCGATTACCAAATAAATTTGCCCCATTTTGCGGACGCAGTTCTAGCGTTGTCCTGAGCGCGGCGGTAAGGAGTCGCGGGTTTTGGTTAACGAGAAGCACTGGACGCCACCGCGCGGCTCAAGTCTTGGTTTTTGTTTCTCTCTCACTAGAAAAACTGGCTCAGGCGAAGGAGGAGAACCTGGGGCTGCACCAG